CTGTTTCTATTATCCCAGAGTTTCCAACAAAGAGTGCCAAAGAGAAGTCTCCAATGGGTACCATTACAGCGGGGATTAAGGTTCCATAATAACCAGTCTTCGAGGGGCTTGTGAAAGAAATCATGGGCACTATGTGGTGAAATTATCTTCAACCAGCGGTTTCTTGCAGTAGGACAGTGGTGAAGGATATGGTTGAGGTCTTCTTCAGCAGAGTGACAAATTGCGCAAGTTCCTTCTAAAGTCATTCCCCTTCTTACTCGTTCGGTGAGGAGGCGGTTTTTCAATGCAAGCCAAAGAAAGGTACGAATTCGTTGTAATCCGGGCCACTTCCAATCCATGTCCAGCTGCGGTCTTGCTCGTCACAAATCATGAAACTTTAGCTTGGGCTACATATTGTTTCTGTTTTAAATGAAGAACTAATTAATTAATTTAATTAGTAGATTAAGAATGTTAGTTAAATTAATTAATATGATATTTTTTTAAAACACTCTAATTATCTTTCTTAATTCCTTCACTTCCTCTCTTATTTGACTATTTTTAAGAAAATATCAATAAGATTAATTTGAAAAAAATTAATAAATATATCAAATAAATCTTATATATAGGACCAATATTAAATTCGAATTATGACATACGTTTGGACCGAAGGAGTATTACTTTTTATAGTTTAATGATATTTTTCTATCACCAATTCTCTCTCTCACAATGCTGGTGAATTTATTCAAAGCTGAAAAGTCGTGGTCCAACTAGCCGACGCCAAGTTAGAGAAATCGGTCCATATCCTTTAATAAAAAATAAGATTATATGGTTAAATGAGTGAGACCACGTGAACATGGACGAAGACGTACAATAATTTAGTTTGAACGCATACCTTCTTTCGGAATTATGTCATATTCCCACAACTTCATCAATTTAATTGGAAATATCACATGTCATTTTTTTCGACCGAAGTATCTTTCCATCTAAACAGTAAGAGACTAATCCCTTAAAATACTATCAGACGCTGTAGTAGAGACTCCTCTCAACAATATTTTTCTTCATAAATACTGCTCCAAAGATCAAACCTGAAACATAATGTTTAAGTTATTCAAGTCTCTTCCACTTGAACCAACAAGTGTTGTTTCACATGTCATATTTACGTACACAACATTGTTTCAAGCATAAAAGCCTGTTGAGTTTTGCAAGAAAAATAATAGATTTGTAAAAGATAGGGCAGGATCTATAGGTGAGAATGGGGCACAGCACTGGACCCATTCTAATTATGGTATGGATGCCTTACTCTTGTACCCATAATAATTTAATAATTCTTTTTGGGCCATGAATTAAGTGTATATATAACAGTAGGCTTTTTCCTAGGAGAGTCCAATATAATGTAAGATATTTTTAATTGAATCATATAGTTTTAAAAAAAGTTGTACCAAAAAAAAATATAGTTTAAAAAAAAAACAGTTAAGTATAACATATACTACCTTTGATCCTTAATATAAGAATTTGTTTAACTTTTATTTTGGTCTTAAATATAAGATCCCAATCCACTTTGTCTCTCATATTTATGCATTTTTTTTCTAAGATAGTCATTCTAACAATAGTAATTCTAGCTAATATATTTGATTAGCAAGGATATTTTAGAAAATACAACATTTATTTATTACAAATAACTAACTTAACTTCTTTTCTTAATCTTCTCAAATTAGTCAACTAGCTCTTATAATTAGGACTGGAGGTGGTAGTATTTTTTTCTCAACAATTATCATAAAATTCCAAATTTAATTTTAATTAAAGTCATTAACATGCATCATAAAGTAAAAGACGATATTTCCCAATAAATTAAGAGTTAATTGTATTGAGAATATTTTTGAAAACGCATCACATATGATTCATTAAGTAGGTGAAAATTGATTATCCAATTAAATAGGTAACAATAATCCTAAAAGTTAATTAATACTAATATACAACAAATTAAATTGATCAAATTGAATAATTTATCATTGGGATGCTACATATTCTGTGCAAACCTTCTTGAGATATTTGCACTAAATCGGCTGTGATTATACTTATTTGATCTTTCAACAAGATTAGCTAATAAAAAATTCATGTTAATTAATCTTAATCCATACAATAAGAAACACTTGGAAAATTTAATCAATATTTGAATCCTAAAAAGGAGTGAGGAAAAACTTACAAAATGTCATAAAATCAAATTGAATATCATCCCAGAAAGATTACTGTATTGTTTTAATTAATCCTCGTGGATTTCAACTCCGGAAGATTTATTCCTATATATATATAATTTTTTTTATTGGTTGAGATAATATGTTAGTCCTCTGGTTTTTATTTATAAGGCAAAAAGAAAATATTTTTTGGCCATATTTATAGGACATTGAGAAAATTTTTTTTGTATAGATATTAATTTTACCTTTCATTTATTATTGTGTTGATTTTATTTACATAAGATGTAAGGTATATTAAATAAGGATAAAATTGAAAAGTTGTTAAATTTTAAATAAGAGTTAATTTAGTTTAAAATTTTTCTTAGTCTGTGTAAAACAAGTTGGAAGTGACTTATAAATAAGAGTAAAAGAGTATTTTCAGGGGAAAAAAACTTTCTTGCATGTGGAATAAAAAATTAAAAAAAACTCTGAAGGGGGAACATTCATTTAATGTAGCATCAATTATCAATACATTTCCAAATTCTTACATATACATATACGCGCGCGCGCACACATAAATGGAAGAAGTAGGAATGCAGGTTGTGCCTCAGAAATCGGTCCTTCACGGCTAACAAATTAAATATATAAAATTATCTTTTCCAGATGCTTGATAAATTAAAATTAGAACTTCTTTTTTTTTTTTACCAGCAAATCAAAACTTCTACTATGCTTTTGAAATATCTCATTGATGGCCGGAAACATTGAATCATTTACAAAGTTGACAAATATCACACACACACCACCCTGATACTTGATATAAATCAGTCATACTCATTCTCACATACTAAAAATATATATTAAATTGATAAAAAAATTTTTAAAGTTATCCTTATTGAAAGTTTTCTCTTTCTGTATTTATAAATAGTTCTCACATCTCTTCTTAATAATAACTGACTAGCTTGTAATGATAAATTTTAGAGTAAAAAGTGACAGCCTTTGACATGTCATTGGTTGGGACTTTATAGTTGTCATATTCCTTCTTTAAAACTTTATTATAATTCTCCCAATATTGAAAGAGTCAAACAGATAGGAGAAGTTTTGAACCAAAAAAAAAAAAAAAGAAGAAGGAGAGTGAAAGGGGGAGGCCATTCAATCAATCAATTAAGTTTGACTATAATGAGAAATCTCAGAAAAACTAATCAGATAATTTAGATCACCTATCTATATATTCTATATTTTTAATGCAAATAAAGAAGATCTAAAAAAAAAAGATGTAATGATAAGAACCCCCCATTAAATCCTAATTAATCTAAAGAATATCATAGATATTCTTATTTCAATAATTCTAAATATATAAAATAATTTTAATTGTATCTTATGTCATATTTCACCATGATGCCCGGGTATTTTATTTTGAAAGCATATTAAATTAAATGAGCCAAACCCTTCATATAAATTGAGAGTTTAGCGAAGTAACTCTTTTGACTGACTTTAATTTGGTGGGTTGAAAATTCAAACCCGGCTCACCATGCAAGTTAAACAAACCAAGCACTTAACTCATTAATTTCTATTCCCATTCTATTCGCAAATGAATTTTCCACCAAAGACCCTGTTCATTCTTTGAAATTACTGTATACTCGTAATTAGTAGTATTGTAGGGTGATTATAATAGGTGCCCTTATAAGGAATAATCAAATCGCATCCTAAAACAAGCTGATCATGCTAGTGAATTTGTTCAAAGCTGAAAAGTCGGGGTTCAACCAATAGACGATACATTAGAGAAATCGGTCCAATTCCTCTAACAAATCGTGAAGATGGACGAAGACATGCATTAAGTTAATTTGAACGCATATCGTCTTTCGTAATTATGTCATATTCCTACAACGTCATCAATTTAGTTGGAAATATCACATGATTTATATTTTATATACTCGCTATTGTTTTAAGTATTAAAGCCTATATGAGAGTTTTGGTTTGCTTTTAAATATAGCAATAAGTCTTATTTCCTCTTCTTTCCTATACGTGTTTATTTCTTATATGTAATGCTTCTATTTATTGGGACATTTTTATTTCCAAATATTGAATCCTAATCATTAAATAACAGCGGTAGTTTGTTTATATAAAAAAATTATTTACATATTAATTACAAATAATAAATTATCTTAACTATTTTTTCTATGAATTAGTTAACATAATTTCATATTTATGATTAGAGGGAGTACATATCTAGCGCGTGCAGTCAAGGGAAAAGAATTCACATATATTATAAAATATTTTCTTTCCTCATCATAAAAACTTCTACAGTTAATTAGATCATTTATTGAATTGCCATATTTTAATTTCATACATAAAAATGATAGCGTAATTTTTTATGATCTCTCAATCAGTGTGAATAATAATAATAATAATAATAATAATAATAATTATTATTATAATCTCCTTTTAAATGATACATTTTCATTCCATAAAAATTCTTGCAGCATTCTTAGATTATTTCAATTTTCATTAAAAATAAAAGGAAGAAAAATACATGAAAAAACAATTTTAAAAAAATGAATAAAACAAAGATAAATTTGATATGCTATTTTAGGTAACATTATCAACAAGTGACTGATATTTTATTTATATACTACCGGTCCCAATTATATAATCTCGTTTGTAGTTTATAAATGAGGTAAATAAGGTTTTATAATTAGGACTGGAGGTAATATATACACATATAGTGTTATACGTACATTAATATTATATTAATTAATAAAGGGGAACAGAGCCATCCGTTTAGTATAAAAGCAGTACTTTCGCTTCTAAAACGACCAAACCCTCACTTCAGCATTAGTTTCCTTTGTCAGTATGGAGATTCAAATTCCATATTCCATCCTCTTCGCCTTCTTCTCGTTGCTCTTTCTGGTTCTAATAAAGCCTTCAAGATTGAAGAAATCAAACAAACCCCTACCCCCAGGGCCATGGAAGCTTCCTGTTATAGGGAACTTACATCAAATGGTAGGGCCATCACTTCCTCATCACATCATGAGAGACCTTGCAAACAAATATGGCCCCTTGATCCACCTTCAACTTGGACAAACCTCCAACATCATAATCTCTTCCTCAGAAATGGCCAAAGAAATTATGAAAACGCACGATCAAATCTTTGCCAACAGACCCATTTATTTAGCAGCCAAAATTGTTGGCTACGATGGTATTGATGTTGGCTTCGCTCCATATGGACATCGTTGGAGGCAACTTCGAAAGATTTGTACTTTGGAGCTTTTGTCTGTAAAGAGAGTCCAATCATTCAGAAATATAAGGGAAGAACAAATAGGATCTCTCATGAAGTATATAACTGAACATGAAGGTTCTGTTATTAATCTTCATAAACAATTTTTCCCTCTGGCAAATTCCGTTGTTGCTCGTGCGGCCATTGGTAAGTCCAAGAATGTGGACGACGTTGTGTATTTTATGCAGAAAACAATGGAGCTGGCTACTGGACTTGGTGTTGAAGATCTTTTTCCTTCACTCAAATTCCTTCCTGTCATCACTGGTTTGAAGCGTAAGCTTGAGAAACTGCATGAACTGGGTGATGGGATTTTGCAAGAAGTCATTGCAGAACATAGAGAAAGGAACGATAAGAGGAGCGAGGATGGTGATGATGAAGCACACCAGGAAGATCTTGTCGATGTTCTTCTCAGGGTCCAAAAGGAAAATGACCTTGACATCCACATTTGTGACGACACCATCAAATCTATTATTCAAGTAAGTCTTCTTCTCTCTCTTTGAATGCTTCATACATATAAACAAATACTTGATCATTTATAAGTTACAAATAAGTGTTTTACTTTATAAATATTGGAGTTTGACTCAAAGAAATAAGCTATTCTCAGGACATGTTCTTTGGGGCAACTGAAACAACAGCAACAATTTTGGAGTGGGCAATGGCTGAATTGCTGAGGAATCCAGAGACAATGAAAGAGGCTCAAGCAGAAGTAAGGAAGGTCTTTGGAAACAAAGGATACGTAGAAGAAACAGAATTGCACAAGTTGAAATACACAGATGCTGTAATCAAAGAAATCTTGAGGCTTCATCCACCTCTTCCACTACTGGTTCCAAGGGAAAATTTTGAAACATGGGAAATCAATGGTTACAAGATCCCTTCCAACTCTAGGATTATTGTCAATGCTTGGGCACTCGGAAGAGATCCCAAGTATTGGAACGAGGTAGAGAAGTTTCAACCACAAAGATTCCTTGATCCCTCAACGGACTACAATTTTAAGGGTACGAACCATCAGTATATTCCATTTGGGTCAGGAAGAAGGATATGTCCTGGATCTTCATTTGGTTATGCTGTTATCGATTTGGCTATCGCCAAATTGCTTTACCATTTTGATTGGAAGCTTCCTGATGGGATGAAGCCTGAGGATTTGGACATGGAGGAAACTTTTGGTAACACTGCCTCTAGGAAAAACCATCTATGTGTGGTTCCCACAGTCGTCTATCACCCTTAGTTATATATTTAGTGTTATTGTGATACCGCTTGAAAGATAATAAGGGATGTTTAATTTTCAGAATAAAATAGTGCTTTATGTGTTTGCAAATGTTTTCTGTAATAAAAGAATATGTGTGTGCCTCGCTATGCTTATTAATTGTACTTAAAACATGTCTGTTTGAGTAGTGTTTTATTTAATGTATCTATTGTATTTGTTTTCTGATTTATTGGTATACAATATACAGTTTTTTTACATATATAGCTGCTAATTGAAATTAAATAACCCTAATCAAATCATGATTCATAAATCAATTAAACGATATCACAAGAATTTAGCTCGGGGTTCGTTGTTCTTTTTTAATGATATTTTTCCATATGCTATCTTTTTTATATTGACCATATAAATGATTCCCTACACGTATAATGATAAAAATTAAGAGAAATCCCACAAGGCCTCCTCCAATTTTCGATGAAATATTACCCAGCCAGGATCTATGACTCTATAAGTTGGTTACAAAACAACTTCGATATAATTTGAGTTTGTATCTAAAAATATAAGCCTGGCTTATTTCTATTTTTTAATTTATGTTTTTAGAGTAGTTTTACAAAATTGATATTTTAAAAAATTTTAAAAATAAAAATGTTTGGATAATTGTTCTGAAAAATTGCATTTGAGGACAAAAGATAAAAACTAATTTGGGGCAATTATTTTGAAATCAACTTGGAAAACTAATTGAAAGTGAGACACAAAGTAGAGATTAGACAAAGAGACATTATATTAACAAGTGCAGGAGACAGAATCAAAAGGATGGCCGCGAGTAAAGAGAAAAATTATGAAAAATAATAAAACAGAAAAAAAAGGAAAACGATAAAACATGTAAAAAAAATTTTTTTGAGGTTTTTTTGAAAAAAAATGATATCTAATTTTTTTGTTTTACAAATAAACTTAATCAAAAATTAACAACCAAACAATTTTTTTTTTGTTTTTAAAAACAAAAGATTATTTTGAAAACAAGAAAATAAACATGCCCGTATTGCACGATATTGCCCTCGACATAAAAAACGATGTAGAGCACATCTTTGCATTTGAAAAGATACATATTAAAATTTATTTATGAGAGAATACTTGTCAATGCTGGCTTAATTATGTGAATTATTAATTCTGCTACGCAAAACTTTTTTTTTTTTTTAATACTTTGGACAGTATTTATTTGACTTAATGTCTATCTCCTTAGTCCAACAACCGTCTGGAAAAGAGGCATACTTACCTCATATGGAAAACGGTCTATCACGTTAAACGAAAAGACTTTAGAAATATGAGCCAATGAAAACCACTTTTCTTTGGCCAACAACCACTTTTGCTTCCATGCTTTTGAATAATTGATACAAATATTATGACTTTTCGGCGTAGGACCACGTTACATGAGAATCTTCTATCTTTTCAGATTGTTAATTTAAAATTAAAATGTATTAACTATATAACTGAACTTGTTAAATTTTAAAGTTGTATCATAATAATTTTTTATTTAAAAATTTATTACAAGTGTGTTTTGGAGATAAAAAATTATTAATTAAAATTAAAATATGTTAACTGTGAAATGTAACATGTTACTTTTCAAGATTATCTTGTGATAAGGTTTTATTCAAAGGTTTACTGCAAGTTTTAAAGAGATATGAAGCTATTAATTTAGAATTAAAACTTGTTAACTATCTAATTGAACTTATTAATTTTCAAAATTATATTTTGATCAATTGAACTTTTTAATTTTCAAGTTTTATTCAAAGACTTATTGCAAATGTGTTATGAAAACAGAAAATTGTTACTCCTCCGGTCCTAAATATAAGACCCTTATACACACTAGTATAAAAGTCTTACATTTAGAACCGGAGGAGTAATTTAGAATTGAAATATGTTAATTATAAAATGGAACATGTTAATTTAGAATTCTCTCTTGGTTTCTAATAAAATGAGTATTAGAGTCATTTCTTAAAATTTTAAAATTTCTCTTCACATCCCATGACCTAACTAGGGGGTTTGACAAATTTAATGGCCCAAGTAATAATTTGGGTTATTTAAATGTCTTTTTAAAGAATTTTTCTTATATATTTTTGCCCAATTTTAATTTTCTAATAAGAGAATTTATTTTCTTAAAAAAATAACTGTTATCTCATTGTCATTATGTTTTGGCTCTACTAAAATTATTAACAAAAAAAATATGAAATAATTAACATCCAATTTTATAAAAAAAACTTGAAAATTCCCTTCTAGCGTGGTACATATAGGGCCCAAATCATAAATATCTTTTCAATTGTGATTTACGAAATATAAAGTTATGAGAGAGGAGTTTTGTTTTTTTTTTTGTTGCTAAAGTATAGACATCTTTCTATTAGAAATAATTTTATTCGAGACACTGTCAGGCACTAAATGTGCCTCTTTCAACAGAAAGAAATTTTGTTTTGATTTAAGTGAAATATGTTTATAAATATTTTTTATCATTATTCCAAACAGGCTTCTAGTGTTTTTTTGCTTTTTTGAGGTAAAACAGGCCCTTACTTGGAGGGATTTGCATACTTTTTTAACAGGGACGCGGGCCTCATGTAATCAAAACTTAAAAGACATTATGGCCCATATAATTTTTCAAATTGACCAGATTGCCCTTATTTGACCGAGAAGGGAGACAATCGAGCAGCGCAAAACGGCGTCCTCGTTCAGAGATGATCGCAGGCTTTCATGAAGAAAAAGGTAATGGAGAGGCAGAAAACGGCGTCCTCGTCCTCCCTGTCCTCAAGCTTTTGCTCTAGCCGACGATTGAAGGAGAAGAACACTGAACCAGAAAAATGGCGTCCTCCCGCTTCTCTGTTCGGCTACGTACTTCAGAGCAACGCTTCCCTGTTCTTCGTTTTTCCTTTTTGTTTCATACGATTAACAAGTTCGTTTGACTGTGACCGATTTAATAACACCAGTTGAGAGGGACATGGTATATTTCTTTTGACTTTATTATTATTTTCCCTTGAAACTCTTCATCTTGTTTATACATATCCAAATATATTAATGGTTTGTCTTCTGCCCCACTTTTGACTAAAGCTATAAACTAATCCTACGAAGAAACGGGCCCTCTCCTCCACTTTTGACTAAACTATTTATGGATTTCCTTATTATTTGTTCATCTTGCAATCTATGGACGTCTCTTGAATTCCTTTGTCCACACGTTTTTTAAAAGAAAATCGAGTTAATTTATCAAATCCTTTTGGCGCTTTGATGCAGGGGAAAAAAAAAAGCTCCTTAAGTTAAAATGACACTGCACCAATGTAATATTCTTCTATTATATATGTAAACTTGTACAACCTTAAGATTTGAGAATGCATCACAAACAACCTTTTGTTTTTGAATTTAGCCTTGTTAATAAATCAGGAACAGAGTACGTGGCACAATCTTGTTATATACGTTTAGTATGGGGCCAAAAATGAACCAATCCGAAACATCATTTTATTACTTAGAAGACTTACATGAAATTACAAATCACACAGGGGTTATTAGATGCGATTACATTTATTACGCGACTCTCTCAAAGAGAACTTTTTCAATGTGAGAATTTACAGTTTCTGGATGAGTGTGAGCTGCATAATAAAAGCTTTTAGTGACAGTGAGGAATGTTTTCTTCATGTTGAGATCCATGCCATTTGAAGAGAGAACCAACTGCACTAGCTCTTGCATTTTCACTCCTATTTCTGCCTTCCCCTTGTAGCTAACATTGCTATTGTTTTCCTGATATAAATTCCAAACCAGATATATAAGTGAACTGTATCATGCATACATATACTACCACTAAGGAGATGAAATAATCTCGTTATTAATGAATGAAGCTGATTAATGATGTTTCTAGTTAAGAAGTAATCACCTCGGTGGTTTGGAGAGAACTTAATTGGTGGCAGATTTGATTAGAGAGTTGGAGAAGTCTGTGATACTGAGGATTGATTTGTAAGTAATGAGGAAGTTGGTAGCCTGCATTTAGGTTGATCATGTTCACCAACAGCTCAGCATCTCCTTCCCACTGATCTCCACCGCTTTGCCATCCCAAGAGCCACTTTTTCCACTGCATGCATTCAAATATCATTATACTGCAGAATGAAGTTACGGAATATTGCATTTGTATTAACGAAGACAGATCACTTACTGCATCATGAAGAATATCGAAGCCAGCAGAAGGTGAGCTCTGAGAGAAGGAATGCAAAGTTTCTATTAAAGTCCCAAAAAGACCCTCCCTGCTCCTGTTTTTATTCAGCCATCTGCGATATGCATATATTATTAAGTTAAGCTTCTAATCAGAAATAAAAACGTACTAGTGAGAAGTGTAATTACCGTTCATTTAAGGAGGTACTGCTGTTATTGAATTCATGAACAAAGGCTTCTCTTTGGTGTTGGTCGGGATATGTGTATCTGAGTGTGTGAATGAGAGCAGAAGTTTTGACCCATGCAAGCCGTTCTTGGGATCTCTCTGGTTCAAATATGTTGGCTGTAGCCAAGAAGTAAGCCAAAAGAAGCCTTTCTTTGCTCAGTCCGAACATTTCTAGTCCACATTCTGAGTACCACCTGTATAAAAATCATCATAACTTTTAGTTAATATTTCTGACTTTTATGCACCCTGCCCAGAAAAATGAGAGAGATCTAGGTTGATCTTACTGTTGAATTCTGTTCCATTCTACTCGGTGCAAGGATTGGCACTTGTTATAGTCTAATTTTCCAAGTTCAAGGTTACCGTTGTTGCTGACTTTGTGCAGCCTGCAAAACATGAAAACCATCTTTAATTTTCAACTCAAAATATAATGTTCAGATCATATATCCCAGAATGAGACTTCAATTAGCTAGTTACCTGTAGAGAGTCTTAGAAATCCAGACATCATCACCACCACCGTATTGGTCCAAGTAAAATCTAGTCTCTACTCTTGGCAAGCTTGCATACCATGGGAAATCCAATGCATAACTCACCTGTCATTATCGCTTAGAAAACTTAATAACAATTTTAATTTTTGTTCATAAGAATTAGCAAACTTATTTACAGGTAATATCGAATGAGCTTAAAGAAGAAATTAATACCTCGCCTGGCAAATCCTTGGCAATGATCCACTTATCAAGAATTTGATTATCAGCTCGTTTTTTAGATAAGAAATTGGTTGCATATTGCCTGCCTTCATAAAGAATTGTCTCTTCTGGGAATTGAAATTGAGTGGCTCTGTAAAAGTTAAACATCACTGTTGCCCCTTCATCTGTTTGTCCTGGCAAGCAGCAGAACTCGCCATCTTTCTCAAACGTTTTAAACACATCTGTCCCATATGACCCACCAATTTCATTCATTAGTATTTTCCTGGAAAATTAAGTTCATGTTTATTGTTGTCCAATATGGTATCTTACTTACTAGGTGAAACATCGTAGCCGTTTAGTCTTAATAGTCTGAATCCCATGGATGTGTCATCAAGGTCTGGCAAGTCTGAATCTTTTGTCCACCCAATGCCTCTCTCATTCCAATTTCTGAAAAAGAGTTATTGATAATATTGATCAAAATTCCATTGTTCTTGTTCCATTTGAGGTTTAAACTTCAATCAAAGTGATTTTAATTTCCCAACGTTACAATTTTAAGCAATCAATTGCAAGCTAGACAAACCCCTGAGATGGTAACCCGTTGGAGAAAAAGAGAAGAGAGGCAGTTTATACCTGTGAACATAATCTAGGATTTCTTTAATATGTGGTTGAAAATATCTTGCGATTCCCAAACGCTCCAACCGATCAACAATCCATAGTTGTTCGAAAAATTCTATGGGGTAGAAATCTGGGACTGCAATTTATTAAACAAATTAAAAAAAAAGGATTAATGTCACAATCATTCAAAACTTAATGTTAGGCAATTTAGATCAATTCCATGATGTTGCATAATTATTTACTCCCCTAAGTCTTAAATATAAAATCTAGCTGAACAATTTGTTTTGGTTATAAATATAGAACCTGAATTGTCTTTATCTTCCTCATTTAATGTTTTTCTTCCAAATTACGCTTATTAATTTCTTAACCTCAAATCACAAGTGTCATACTTAGTACGAGAGAGTACAATATATATAATTATACGCACCTCCGCCATTAAAGTTTTGGGCGACATTGTTCAAGTAAGTGAGGCAGTGAGGGTCGTTGCTTTGAGTGAAAGCAAAGGCAGTGGAAGAAGGACAGAACAAGTAAGAGCCATCTTTGCTTCTTACATTCTGAAGCTTATCCCATTGAAGCCCTGGTATTGCTTCCAAGCTGAACAGCAACGTCGTAGGAACACTATGCAAAACTTCCATCGGTATCCTTTTTCCCATCATAAAATAAACCAGTCAAACATTTGAGTATTATGGGGTCGATTTAGGAATAGTTCTTCATATAGTTTGGATCTTTGAATTTAAGAGGGAATCTATAATCTTTCTATTATTAAATCTATAATCATCAGTATTATATATGTACCGTTTGAGCTTGGCATCTCTCCTTGCAAGTATTTCTGGGAGGCCAGGGAAGTCATCAGGCAGATCCATGTTCAAACCTTTTGCCCAATGCAGAAGTGTTGGCAGAATGACTTCAAACCCACATGTCATGTGCTCTCTATTTTCCGTTTCCAGCGTGTTCGCGTTCTCTTTGAAGAACTTTAGCCCTACATTTATTTAAAATTATTAAATTAATATGTAAGATTTACATAAGTTCTCTAGACTATATATGCATCATGTTGGAATTATTCAATAGTCGAACAATGGTGTGAGGAAATTCCATTGAGCAGACTAGTCAAATTTTTATATATAAAAATGAAGCAAAATGACCGCTAACCTGTCTGCATTCTTGCTCATTTGAAAAATAATGAGTATTATTATATGGTCACTTTTAAGATGAATTGAATTGTCCATTGGAAATTTTAAACTAATTTTCATTTTTATATTTTAAACTAAATTTATTTTATTCTAGAAAAACCCAGAAAAAAAAAGAGTCTAAATGATTACTACATTCAGTCCTTGATATAAGAGTTAATTTAATTTTCAATTTGGTTTTAATTATAAGACCCTAATTGACTTTGTCTCTCTTATATATCTAGTTTTTTTCAAAGTAGTTTTTGTAGCAGTTGCATATATTAGATGTTCTATCAAATGATGATTCTAACTAATACACATGATTAACAAGAATATTTTAGGGAAGACAACACCTATTTATTACAAATAACTAATTTAACAGACTTAATTAATTTACTCAAATTAGTCAACTAACTCTTATATATATATATATATATATGTATATTAAGGACCGGAGGTAGTACTTTATATCCTTAATTTAAAAGTTAGATAATTAATTTGGAGATATTAAAAAGATTCATTAAGTTAATTATTTATAATAAACATGTGTTAGCTTTCTTAAATTACCCTTTTTAATCATGTGCTTTATGAAAATACCTTTGGGTAAGAACCCCTTACAATTAGTAGGAATATCTTTTTAAAAACAGTTACAAATTTAGGAGATAAAATGGACTTAGTTCTTATATTTTGTATTAGACGTAATCCTCTGACTAGTTTATTTATTAAAAGGTGAAGGCAGCAAGTAAATGGCCCACATGTTTGAAGATTTGACCGAGAGAGTAAGAAACGAAAGAATGATATAACATCTCAACTAATTAGGGTCATAATATAAGGGGGGAATCCTACCTTTGTGGACCTTTTCCGGATGAACGTTGTAGTGTGTTAAGACAATAACAGAAGCTAAGGTGCAAAGAAGCCTATCATAAGCCACAAATATATCCGCATCTCCCCAGGATCCATCTGGCAGCTGATTCTCTATTAACCATTGAAGAGATTCTGGGAACTGAGGGGCCCCACTTCCATTCACATCTTCAACCAGAGCGAACAATGCTGTGTGATAAGCCGATGGTGATATACTCTTCTCTCCTTCTTTTGATTCTAAGTTCTTTCTAATGCTTTCCACTCTCTTTCTGATCTCATCGTTCTTCACAGAGCCCTAATTTTCATATCAAAACAATACATGACATTCACATATAACACATCAAACTCACTGCATTAATATTAACATCGCACGTATGTCAACAAAGTGTTCAATAAAACTATACGTACCTCCAAAGCTTGTTCATCTTCTTGCTTCACCTGATCGATCCCACTCTTCCAATTCAATTTCGGGGTTGTCAAACCTTCCACGAGTTCTGATGAAGTTTTTGGCTCTGATATGCCTCTAGTGCTTTTTGCTCTCAAGTCAGAGTTATTCTTCTGTGAAACTATGACTTTAGCATTCAACCGCGAAGCCCCTGTAACAACATAATGATCATCACATAGGCTTATAAAGAGAACGATAAATTAATATACTCGTAAAAACCATTAAGAGGTTGAAGTAGTTGATTAGATTACCAGGAAAGGTGTTGTTAGAAGGAAGATGGATTGGCAGGGGATTGATGGAGGAAGAAGATAAGTCATGGCGAGTTGAAGAAGAAGGAAGAGACTGAGAGTAATAGTGATATAAGGTGGATTGAGAAGCCATTATGGCTTGCTTAGCTGCTTCTTCTTCTTCTTCTTATTGGAATAATCCTCTTCCACTGTAAATGGCCATGGCGATATTCATATGCCATTATATTTATAAGGATTAAAGACAACGGGTGTGGAAAAGCACGCGCAGCCTCCAAATAGATTAAATATTATGATGTTCAAACTATTCTTGCCCCACTTATTGACTAGTGCTATAATATAATCCAATGAAGAACCGGGCCGTCTTCGTGCACATATTTTAATGATAGAAATAGTTATGGTTTTCCTAGTTATTTGTTTATCTTGCAATATAATCCATCGACCTGGTTTTAATTTTTTTTATTTATGTTATCTTAAGGGAAGATAAAAAGAGAATTTTACTTGACCTGAGAAATGACTCATTCGATCGTGGAAAAGTTTACTGGGTTTACAGATATAACCATTGTTTTTCCAAGGAGAAAGTATTCTTTTGTTTTTTCATACGTAGAAGATATAGATCATCCTTAATAGTATACGTTATAAATAAAAGTCGAGAATTGAATTTTCAATAATTTGTATTTTTTTGACTACTTCTTTTTTTAAAAAAAAAAAAAATACAAGACCTCAACTACTTCTCTTCTTCATTCTCATGGTTTTCCACACCATGCAATGTTGATCAGTCCAAATTCCATAATTTTGTATATAAATTATTGTTGTTGTTGTTGTTGTTGTTGTTGTTATTATTATTATTATTATTATTATTATTATGATGCACGGATGAAAACCTTCATAGTAAAGTTCTTATGCATAAAGGATGGGGAAAATTCAAAGATAGAACAACAGATGGGAAATAGCGTTACCAAAATTTTTCGTCCATCGATCGAGCCTTAGTCGTCATCAAGACTTCTATTAATTGTAAGAAGAATCTATAGACTCACAAATTTTGTTGACAAAACTTGGCATGTATTGAATTTTCTGAGTTAGGATTCTTTTGCGAAAACATTAATGGAAGATGTAATAATTAATAAATTAAATCACATGCTAACTAATTGAGGTTTTTTTTTTTCATTCAAAATTTTGAAATGGCTTTAATTCAATGAGCATAAATGCATAATATTATATATCTGAATTTTTAATGATAAGATGGAATTTAATTCCAATAATAGCACCTAGCTTTGATTGATTTCAAAATTAAATTTAATCCATTAAGGGATAAAGTTGAAAACGTGAAAAACCTATGTAGGAAATGTTAAATGTATCAAAAAAAAATGTAGGAGATGTCAAAACTACTTAAGTTCAGTCTAAATTAAGCATGTTTTTCATAATAATCACCGCAAAATCAATGTTCATGTGGATGTCCTTGTCACTTTGATTGCCTATTTAATGATTTGTGTCCGTTTCCGTTCCTCCATTTTCATGCCGCCAAAGTTTCCGCGCAAAGTTAAAATAGTTTTTTGTTTTTTGTTTTAAAATCAACATGATTTTGCAATCTGAGGGGGAAAAATCAAAAGATAATAGCTTTTTACTATAACTACACAACATTTAAAAATACTTAAAGCGAAATCATTTATATTAATATATAGATTTTTAAAATATCAAGAAATCATGAAAAAAAAGTTCATATCTATAATATCTTTTTTGTAAATTGATATTTAATAAAATATTAGCATAAATTTTTAAATTTTATAAAGCATAAATTTCATCGTTAGCATACTTTAATACTACTATAATTTAATGTTACATCATGCCGCATTTGTTAGAATTAAATAATTTATGCTATAAGTAATTCTTACATTAAGAGCCAGAAAGTAAATTTAATTAATTGGGAGGAATCCATCATGTGCTCTTATATCAAAGTTTATCCCTTGTACTCACCACAAAAATATGATATATAAACAATTTATATAATGAAAAGTAAATAATTTCGTAAAGTAGCCTAACATATCCCTTATAAATGAAAAGTTCACTACGTTAATCATAAATTAATACTCCCTTCACCCCATTTACATAAACTAATAAAATATATCTTTTATTTCTATACTAACAACATATTTTTTTTGTACGACGGAATACACAGCAACAACATATTTTACTTATGCATGTATATGTAAGTGTATGGGATAATAAGCACATAGATAAATACAAATGAATAATTTATTTATCCATGTGATTTAAATACTAATTTGGTATGTTAATTGGTTTTATAATTTTCGGCCCAATATCCTGTCTTCATGGCTGATTTTTTTTAATTTTATTATCAAGTCAATAAAGCTGGTTGCGTGGGTAATGATATATCTCATAAAAAATTTAAAAAAATCACTACTATAAGGTTTTAAAAGGAAGAATATAATCACAAAAAAAAAAGAATCATAATAACATGTAAGTACTATGACTTGTCATTCATTTGTTATGAGATTTTTTGTAGTGATTATATTCATTCTTTGAGGTCTTTTTCTTAAAAAAAAGTGTAATTTTAAATCCACTTTTGGATATGAGAATTTTGTTAATTAATTATTTATAAATGTATTTTTATAAGCGCTTTTAAAGTTTTAATTTTTAAGGTCTGCAATTCTAGAACCCTCTCAAGGCCCGGCTAGATTTGGGCATTCACCTTTTTTTCAAACTAGAAAAGAAAAATCATTATTGTACTATTAAATTCTAGAGTAAAATACTTTAACCTTCCTTACATTTCGTTTTAATTACACAAACTTTCCCTCTATTTTGAAAATATACACTTAAATCTAAACTGTTAATTCCGTTAAGAATATTTGAAAAAGTTTTTTTAATTCAAATTTATATTGAAATACTTTCTATTTACTAAATTACCCTTCATAATACTAAATCCCAAAATCTTAGTTAAAATTACATCGAAGAATTTAAGATTTTCACCTTTATCCTAATTTATTTTTTTTTATTTTTAAAAATGTTGTTTGTTTAATGTTTTTATCGTATTGGGCCAAAAAATTAAGTAATTTAGTTAATGCAAATATAAATTTAAATGATTTATATAAGTTTCCAAACTTGAATAATTTATATTATGTGAAAAGAAAATAAGTATTCAAAATATTTTCTAGCCATTTAAAAAAAATCTTAAGTTTCAATATTTCATGAGAAACTAAAATTATATAATTTTATAATATAATTGAAATTAAAAATTTTGAAAATACATGTATTATAATTATTTTTTATAGTATCAAAACTTATTTTTTATAGATATAAATGTTTAAATAATATTTATGTTAAAGAGGGATATTTTGGTCAAAATAAAAATTTAAAAGTCAAACTTAACAGTCAACTAACGACTGGATGGATGGAAATTGAATTTTAAAAATATAAGAAAAGTTTATGTAACATTCATTTCAATTTGAAGGGAAGTTTATATACGTTTTCAAAATAGAAAGAAGATTTCCGTAATTTAGATAAAATAGAGGGGTTGTCAAGATATTTTACTCTAAATTCTATCTTCTAAACAAAGCTTCAAGCAACATGACTGATTTAAAGTCAGACGTATGAGTACTTGAGTCCAGGTTCAACGAACATTTCACGTGTTATATAGACATGGCCTATTATCACTGCGATTATTCTTACCGGGCAAAAAAGATTCGTGAGATTTATACATATTTCTTAATTCTATTTTATTAACAACAATTTCATTAATTTAACATTTAAGTAAAATTTATTTTTTAAAAAAAATCAGAAGAAATCATGTATAAATGAATATAGAGAGTTCGAATTCACCCCATTGCCATATGAGTTATCTCTTAGGTGACATTTTTACCAATTATGCAGCTATATGAAATTAAACTATAATATTTTTATAATAAATAATAATAGTCAAAGGTTGTGTTGAATATATAAATATATATTGATATACTCATAAAATTAGCTTTTATATAATAATTGGTAATTGACTATTAATGGGCCGCTGAAGACTACTCAAAATTGAATCTGGAATACTTTAAAAGGTTAAAAAAAAAAAAACAAACAAAAGAGGCTCGTGTGGCATATGGAGACAGTAAATTTACAGTAATTCTATAATGAAAGCATAGTCTGTTTTTATTATAATATATCGAATGAATTTCATTTTACAGAAAGTTATTAATTATATGCCTTAATAAAACTTAACAAAAAATATTTTTCACAAACGATAATTATATGGTTAGTTTTAGTAAGTTTATGCATTATATAATATATTGGAATGCGATACTTTCGATGGCAAAAAAAGGAATGCGATATTTTACTATTGTTTATAAATCAGAATTTTATTTTCCGTATTTTAAGAAGAAATAGTTTTAAATACATGTAGATGATAATTTTAACAAGACTAAAGTATACTTTTGGTCTCTTAATTTTATATAAGATTTTATTTTTGTCTTTTAACTTTAAAATGTAATCTTTTAGTCTTCTAACTCTAAAACCGTTAATAAAAACAATGATATTGAGCTATTAAATGTTGATAAAATATTACTAAATGTTATAATATTAAGTTTAATTTTCAAAACAGTCATGATTATTATAAAAAATTATCATTTAAAATTAAAAATTTTAGGGTTAAAGGACTAAAAGTATGCTTTTTAAAGTTAAGAAACCAAATTAAAACCTTACATAAAATTAAAAGACTAAATGTATACTTTAGCTTTTTAATGAATAATGAAATAATTTTTGCCCAATGACCCAAGGCCAGCAAGACTAGGAGAGACCAGTAATTATTCAATGCTCTCTAGAGAGAGAGAGAAACGTAGCCGCCATGAATTTTTATAGCAAGTCCCGTTTGGGACGAATTATATTTTAATATTTTTTTGAACTAACTCAGTTGATATTAATATTATATATAATACTTATTTCACATGTTTATAGTTAATTAAATTTTATATTAAGGATTGAAATATTTCTATGAAACTCTTAAGAGAATTTGCGCTAATAATTTTAAGAGATGAAATTGATTTTGGACCCCTAATATTTGTAGTTATTACTCATTAATCAATCAAAGTTTCTTAAGTGGCTGAGCCGTCTTGAGCTGTCCCTCAAGACTCGAGAGTAACTGAGACAATAAGAACAGAGTGAGATGAAGGTAAGAATGAAGAAT